GTGGAAAATCTTTTACCAGTAGTTCTGCCCTCCGTTCTCACCAGAGAATTCACACTGGTCAAAAGCCTTATAAATGCAGTGCATGTGGGAAATCTTTTGTTCGTAATTCTTCCCTACGTTATCACCAGGCCGTTCATAGTGGAGAAAGGCCTTTTGAGTGTACCGAATGTGGCAAATCTTTTATGAGTAGTAATGGCCTCCGTTATCACCATAGTGTTCACACCGGAGTGAAGCCTTTTAAGTGCCATGAATGTGGCAAATCTTTTATGAGTCGTTACCGGCTTCGTGGTCACCAGACCATTCACACTGGAGAAAAGCCTTATAAGTGCGATGAGTGTGGGAAATCCCTTGCTAGTAGTTATTCCCTCCGTTCTCACCGGAGACTTCATACTGGAGAAAGGCCTTATGTGTGTATTGAATGTGGGAAATCCTTTCTCCATAAAATTACCCTTAATAAACATATAAAGCTTCACTCAGGTGAACGGCCTTATAAGTGTAATGAATGTGGGAAATCTTTTACTACTAGATATACCCTCCGTTATCATCAACGAATTCACACTGGACAAAAGCCTTATCAGTGCATTGAATGTGGGAAATCTTGTACTACTAGTTCTGACCTCCGTAGTCACCAGAGAGTTCACACTGGAGAACGGCCTTATGAGTGCAGTGAATGCGGGAAATCTTTTACTCGTAATTCTGCCTTCCGTTATCACCAGAGACTTCACACTGGAGAAAGGCCTTATGAGTGCTGTGAATGTGGGAAATCTTATACTAGTAGTGCTGCCCTCCGTTCACACCAGAGTGTTCACACTGGACAAAAGCCTTATGAGTGCTGTGAATGTGGGAAATCTTTTACCACTAGTTCTGCCCTCCGTTATCACCAGAGATTTCACAGTGGACAGAAGCCTTATAAGTGCAGCGAATGTGGCAAGTCTTTTACCACTAATAAACAGCACCGTGTTCACCAGGTAGTTCACAGTAGAGAGAGGCCTTATGAATGCCCTGAATGTAGCAAATCCTTTTCACGAAAACATACACTCAATACACACAAAAAACTTCACTCAGGTGAACGGCCTTATAAGTGTAATGAATGTGGGAAATCATTTACTGTTAGTTCTACCCTCCGTTTGCACCAGAGACTTCATACTGGAGAAAGGCCTTATGAGTGCCGCGAATGTGGGAAATCTTTTACTGTTAGTTCTGCCCTCCGTTTGCACCAGAGTGTTCACACTGGAGAAAGGCCTTATGAGTGCCGTGAATGTGGGAAATCTTTTATCAGTCATAATGGTTTTAGATACCATTCCAGTCTTCACACTGCAGGAAGGATTTAAAATAGCACAGAAGGTGATACTTCTTGCTTAGTATAGTTTCGGCTGGAGGACAGCCTCTAAGGCAGCCACCTACCTGACTGGAACGTGGTTCACCCAAATGTCTGCAGTGGAGTGACTTCCCATAAGTTCCAGCTATTTTCAGAAAAATTCAGAACCTGCATTGTGCTTTCTGATGTGCATGCAGTTATTGCACGATGGAAGTCCCTGTCAGTGTCTGTGGCAGAAGTCCTTTCACCTCTGCCACCTGGCGGTTCCCATAGTGTGCATAAGTCACCACCCCAACATGGTTAATGATGCTGACCTGTCTGCTTTCTTGTTTGCGCATCTAAATTATGGGTAATTGGAACTCCTCATTCTGTTCTAAATTAGGGCATGGATGTGACCCAGTGTTGGTCCACAGTGGGTGATCTGAGTTCTGGGTGGTGACTTGCACAGGAAGACTAAATCCCATCGGGATGTTGGTCTCACTCTGCTTTGATGACTCTAGCTCCCAGGTCACCACACAGGAATTATGTGCCACGTGTTGCTCTGGTTGATGCATTAGTAAATGCCATCTTGTTTTAGTTACCTTTAATTTTGTACATTGTGTGCACTCTAGGGGGTGGTGGTTTCAAAGCAGGATTGGCAGGGGCGCCTGGGTGGCTCAGTCAGTTAGGCGGCTGCCTTCAGCTCAGGTCATGATCTTTGGGTCCTGGGATCGAGCCCCGTGTCTGGCTCCCTGCTTGGTGAGAGCCTGCTTCTCCCTCTCCCTCTGTCTATTTGTGCTCTCTCTCTGTCAAAGAAATGAATAAAATCTTAAAAAAAAAAAATAAGCAGGATTGGGCTCTCAACATGAGGGAACGAGTAGATTGCGCATCCCAAACTTGGCTGTGTCTGAGAGGATAATTGCAAATAAATAACAACATACATATATAGATAATCCAGCTTCTGTGTTAATTTGCATTATAACACAGGACCTTTGTGATGGGCTGAATTGTATATCCCAAATCCATATTTTGAAGTTATAACCCCCAGTCCCTCACAGTGTTAACAATAGTTAGACATAGGGCGCCTGGGTGGCTCAGTTGGTTAAGCGACTGCCTTCGGCTCAGGTCATGATCCTGGAGTCCCGGGATCGAGTCCCACATCAGGCTCCCTGCTCGGCGGGGAGTCTGCTTCTCCCTCTGACCCTCTTCCCTCTCGTTCTATCTCTCATTCTCTCTCTCTCAATAAATAAAATCTTAAAAAAAATAGTTAGACATAGCATCTTTAAAGAGATCATGAAGTTGAAATAGGTTATTAGGATGGACTCTTACACAGTATGGCTGGCACCGTCATAGGGAGATGAGGATACAGGCACACAGATGACCATGGGAAGACAGGGAATCCTCGTCTGCAAGCCAAGGAGAGAGGCCTCAGAAGAAACTAACCCTGCTGACACCTTATGTTTGATGTTGAGATTCTGGATTTGGGGGAAAATAAATTTCTGTTGTCTGATCACCCTGTGTATGGTATTGTGTTATATGACAGTTCTAGCTAATACAGCCTCCCAGGATCCATACCTGGGTTTTGTGGTCTGGATGCCAGGAAGTTTTGTGTGCTCAGAGGTCACCCTGAAGAGGGAGCAGTTGAGACCATCTTCAGTGCTTGTGGAAAGAACAAGAATATTTTGCTTGTCCACAGCTGATAGCACAGGATGCCAGGTGCTGTTGAGTGGAATCTGTACCCCAGATCCTTCATTGGAGCCTTGTGATGTGTTATACAGTATTCACTTGTAACACCGCAGGGGCAGGGGAACTGTAATTTGTAATCTAGATGATTGAGTCATTAGGTACTTAGAGGACACATCAAGCCTCTCATGGAGTGTATGTCTTATAAAAGTAATTCCACAGGGGCGCCTGGATGGCTCAGTTGGTTAAGCGACTGCCTTTGGCACAGGTCATGATCCCAGGGTCCTGGGATTGAGCCCCGCATCCAGCTCCCTGCTCGGCGGGAAGCCTGCTTCTCCCTCTCACACTCCCCCTGCTTGTGTTACCTCTCTCACTGTCTCTCTCTGTCAATTAAATAAATAAAATCTTTAAAAAAAAAAAAAGTATTTCTACAGGTGGTGTAGTGACTGACTGGGCAGGATCAGTGTTCACAAATTCTTCACTTTCAGACACACATCCTGTGTAACAGGTCATTCTAAAATAATCCAAAGGTCCCTGAATTCTGTTTTGCTCTCTGTTGGCTTACATGTCAAGGCCATTGTGTTGCAGGCAGGAAAAAGGTAAAGACAAGGGAGAATTCATCCTCCAGGGATGTAGCTTTTGTGACCCTGCCGAGCCAGCATGCCTGTTGGTATCCTGAAGGACTGTGGCAGACACCTGTTCTGAAACATCCTCCTCCCAGGGTGTCTCCCAGGTACTCCCCAGGCCTAGCGCTAAAAAAGATCTTTCTGGAGGTGGTGGTGCGGAGTCCTACTCCCATTAATGGTTGCTAAAGATGTTTCCCAAAGTCCTTGAATAAACCATTTCTCCTCTAGGTGGATTTCTCAGCCTTTTTCGTTGGCCTGAAGGCTGGAGGTTGTTTTGCAAGTATGTCCCTTTCAGTCTACAGTACTGTTTTCTTCTCTGGATGTGCACCACTATTGATCTCTGCATCTGGTTGGAGCACGTGGGTTATTTCCAGTGCTTCCCTTTTACAAACAAATCCCTCTATATATTTTCATTATAATTCCTTATGCAGATAGAGGTTTCATTTCTCTTCTGCTAAATCTCAAAGCACAATGACTAGGCACAGGCAGGTGAGTGTTAACATTCTCATGAAAGGGCCAAAATGGGGTCTGAAGGGTTCACTATTGCATTCCCACCAGGCATGTATGAGAGCTCCAGTATATTCATTCCTGCCAGTACTTGACAGGGTCAGTCTTCAATGTCAGCCCTTTTAATACGTGTGTAGTGGTATGTTGTAATTGCATTTCCTAGAGATTTCTGCCTTTCAGCATTGTTTCATGTGTTTCTTTACCACCTGTATGTCTTCCTTGGTACAATTTCTGTTGACATCGTTGCCTATTTTCTTTCATACGAGTTATGCGTAGTTCCTTTTCATTTAGAAGTAAGACCTGTATAACAACGTTGGAATTTTCCTCATTTGCACATTGTGTGATATTTTTCTTGATGGAGTCTTACAATCCTGGAAGGCTATTTCCTCATTTTTCCTGAGATTTTTTGTGTCCTGCACAATATCATGGCCCAAAATACCTTACACGTTTAAGTTTAGGGTGCATTCCTACCGTTATGGAATGCCTTTGTAAAGTCCAGGCATTCAGAAATACAGAACTGCATCCCCGCTTTGTAGTGCTTGCCAAATTCCAAAGTATAAATTCTTCCATTATGAGAGTGGGATATGCTCAAAGAAGGTGCTGGAAAACTACTTGGGTGTTTGGGGGAAAAACTAAACTTGGGCAGGTGCAGGCAGGACACTTCACAACACTTAGCAGACAGCAGCTGTGGGGGCTGTGAGCTGGCTGGAGGTCTGCAGGAGCCTCACAGGCAGGAGACCTTAATCCTGACAGGCCAGAGGGGAGGGACGTCCCTGAACAACCCGACTGGTGACTGAAAATCTGGCTTGTCTTACCTAAGTAGTGAGAAGGTTGTTGTGTACACCCACTCAGGTCAGAGTTGCTTCCTCTGATCCCACCCAGTATATTGGAAGGACTTTCCCGCTCAAGTGATTACCTCCAAATGATTTAATTCCTTCTCTTTGTGTTAAGAGTCAACTCCTGGTCCGCAAAGGAGTGTACATTCTGTGCAGCTCACCACTGCTCTGAGCTGTGTTTCCGGACAGCTGACAGGAGAAGGCTAGGGCCACTTCTGGCGGCCGCCTGCTTTGAAGGACTGGGAGCCAGGTGGAGCAAGGCCTTACCCACAAGACTGGGGTCAGTGCTGGCCTTCCTCTCCACTGGAAGGACAGGAGTCGAGGTGGAGTAGAGCTTCTACCAGAAGGAAAAGGGTCCCCAGGTCAGGCAGGTTAGTGTGGGAATCTGCTAGGACTGTTTTGCCTTGTACCCAGGTGAGATCATGGTCTCATCCGGGAGGTTCAGCCAAGAAGAGGCCTGCATGGGGACCATGATGCTGGGTGGGAGGGCAAGTGTGGTGCAGGGACTGCACCTGCAGGAGGCTGACACACCTGGAGGCAATTCAGGAAGGTCCCGCTGTGTTGCATCCCTTAACTTCCTTTGGAGTTGATGTTCCCATGTTTGGCACCTGAAGGTAAGGCCCTGCCCAGACCTGCGGCCATTCTAGACCAGGTATGAGACACAGCACAGTCCAGAGGTGAGTCCTCTATTCCACCTACATGCACCAATATGACCGCTGGCGCCTTCTGGTACCGATGAGGTGTAGAAGGTTGGACTAAACTCCACAGATTAGGTTGTCCACGATTACCTTTAGAGGAGAAGACCTCAACAAATTATGGTTGGTCAAGAAATAGGACTTGTAATGTTGGGGCACGGGGGGTTAAAGACCACCTAGCCTGGGAGTCCCAAACAGACTGGGTTTGGCCACTCCCTGGTGACAAAATCCAAAGTCAGAGAAAGCAGTGGTAGTAAACAAGAAAGGAATCTCAGGGAGCCCACACAGAGAAGACCATGGCCTCACCTCTCAATGATTGTCTCCAAAGTACTGAGAACACTTCCAGGTTTATAGAAGGAAAATGTGGGGCCAAGGTGGGTGGGTACATGCAGGTAGGCAGTGAAAGTCAAATAGATCATTGTCCTGGAGTCAGTCATGGGTGGGGACTTGCTGGCTCAGGGCAATCCTTAGTGCTCGAGGGCTAGTTTTTGTTCCCATCGGGATGCCTTGCCATTGGGGTCTTCCATCTGAGTCAAGAGACAAACTGGAAAGAAGAACCCAACTAGAAAGTTTGAGGTCAAAATGGGGGCAGCCGAGGTCCTCTTTCTGTAGTAAGAAAAACAGTATGTATGGGTGAAGCCACCTCAGGCCCACCGGCCAACCTATTAATCTTGAAGATTTAACAAGCACCCTTAGACTTCATGATGGATTAACCTTTCTCTGTTGATCTGTAGGTCATGCTTTCTCTCCTGGAAAGTGCTGAGCATTCTGCATGCCACAAAACAGAACAGACCCTTTTGCACGACCCCTGGGTACTAAGGAACCAGACCCCCTTGTACAACCTCCCAGCAGTGTGGTAACATCTGTAGCTGCACCATTGAGTGTGCATGTAGTCAAGAAACGTTTCAGACCCCTGTACTCCATTTATTGGTTAACTGCCCTAAAAGTTTTATTTTTTTTTTAAAGGTTTTTATTTATTTGACAGAGAGATAGAGAGTACAAGTGGGCAGAGTGGCAGATGGAGAGGGAGAAGCAGGTTCTCTGCTGAGCAGGGAGCCCGATATAGGGCTCCATCCCAGGACCCCGGGATCATGACCTGAGCCGAAGGCAGACGCTCAACCAACTGAGCCACCCAGGCGCCCCTGCCCTAAGCTTTAGAAACCCAAGTGTCCGGCAGAACCCTTGGATTTGGCCTCTGCACAAGAGTCCACCTTCTCCCCAGCCTCCTGATGAAAACTCATATTCCTTTCCAGTGAACATTTTCTATGTTCATTGAAGAGTTGTAATCCCTTAAGAGAAAAACAGACATTTTAGACATTCCTTTTTTAAGGAGGGAAATGTGTGCTTCCCTTTTTCTCTTCAGGCTCGCTTGTGGTTGGCCACAGTGTACTTACCTG